AGGCTGCGGAGCGAGCGGGCGCCCGGCCAGCAGTGACTTATAAAGGGAGCAGCCCAGAGGAATGCATCTCCTTTGGCTGATAAGCCGAGATGACTGGAGGGGTTTGAACTACCTTTGCAAGTCCCGGAGGAGAGAGGGGGAGAAAGGAAAAAGGGGACGGGAGAGAAGAAAAAGAAAAATATTTCAGCACTTGCATAATGTCAATAAACAACCCCCCTCTCAAGTGGCAGGAAAGGAAAGGCTGGAATGTTTTGGGTGGGGAGGAGAGACAGTAGAGTGCGTTTGGTGTTTTTTTTCCCTTTTCATTTTTTTTTTCTTTCTCTATTTAAATCGCATGTTATGTGTTCGTAATGCAAAACTCTGCCTTGGTTGTAGCTGGGGCTGCAGGCTATGGCCGGGAGGGGTGAGGGGGAAGTGGCGGGACTGTCCCCAATGCAGGCTCCCATGGGCTGGTTTGTGGTGCCACCCCACTGGAGTGAACTCCAAACGTGCAGGCCAGGCACGAAGAGCTCTGGCATGCCCCGGGCATGGCTGCGCTCACCAGAGTGCTGCCTTGGGAAACGCGTGGGAAATCACTCCTAGGCTAGGTTTAAGCAATACAAACTCCCTACAACCAACAGGCCCATAACCTATGTGGGGTCTCTGCTTGCTAAGACAGCACCAGTCCCTCCATTACTCTCCCATCCAGACTTCTGCTGACTTGAGCACTGTCAGGAGAAAACGTGCTGCTCCACCGGTTAAACCGGCCTAATTCTGTGGACTTCAGCTGTCCACAGGATCAGCGGCCCTGAGGAGACCACAGAGAGCCAGTGGGTGCTACAGCCCTGCCACAAATGCCATGAGAAAGCCAGGCGGGAGGGGAGCTGTCAGGGGAGATCCAGTCCAGCTGCCCCCTCGCTCCGCTTCCCCGGGTGCTGGCCCTCCTGTGCCTCTGCAACAAACACCACAGGCCAGATACCAACTGAAGTGAACTGACTTTTTGCTGTAGCAGTCACTGGAGTTTGCTGATTGGCACCAGCCACCATTTAAAGACAGGGTATTTAATTGGCCCCTTTTCTCCACCACATTTCTCTTGTATTTAGTTATTATTTTATTGCTCCCAAACTCATGTCATCCAACAGAAGGCATCCTTCCTCCCCAGGCTGGGAGATCCATTATACTGCTCCTGCCTTGCCTCCCACTGCAATGGGATAGAGTGTTTGTGGGCTGCACCCAATTTCCTTGCAGCACTCCAGGCACTTATCGTGCACCCAGCGCCTGCTCCTGTTTTTCTGGGAAAGCCAAAGAGGGTTGTGTCCAGGGCTGCTGAGAAAGAAAGCCATAAATTCCCTTGGGGAAGGAGGTCCCTATTTCTTGCACCGAGACAGTCCCAGGCCGGGGAGGTGTGCACTGCTGTGGTTACTGCTGCGTGCTTGACACGCAACGTGCTGCCATGCTCTACCCATGCCACCAGCCCAGGCTCACCGTCTCAGCTCCCAGCTGCAGTGGGCAGACTTAAATTATTAGAGCAGCGGAAGGGTAATTTACAGGCGCCTTAGCATGAATTCAGTAGCAGTGTTAGCAGCCGGAGGAATTCTGGGGACAAAGTATTACCCTCTCACCCCCAGCTCTGCACACTCCTCACTCCTTTCTTCCTGCCATCAAGCCCCATTGTTTTGTACACTGCTGAACATACTTCTATATTACCCAGAGGCTTATTTTTTTTAAATAATTAGTTTGGAGAAGGAAAAAAAGCTACTGTGCTGATGTTTGTATATAGCTGCAACTCAAAGTGCTCTGAAATGTATCTAATTTGTAGTGAGCAAAATGTTCGATGCTGTCAGAAAACTACGTTCCTAAGGAGAGTCTCAAGCTGGCCATTTCTAAGCCCAGTTTACCCCCTTGTGTTCAACAAATGCTTGGGGCCAACAGAAATGACTGTGTAACCAAAATATAATAAATAAAAGAACCCAGTGACAGTAAGCTTTTTGAACAAGAATAAAACATCCCCCGGAATGCGCACAAGCCAAGTGCTCCAGCCCTGGGCTAGGGCAAACATGGAATGAAAATGCCTGGCAATCAGCACAAGCTTTTAATGCTTTAGGTACTCTCACAAGAGGGTGTGTTTGTGTGTATGAAAGTGATAATTCATATTGCAAGTGCCCTGTGTTGACACAGTATGTGTCAGTGTTCAGAGCCTAGAGGGTCCCACAAAGCTGTTGTTAGGTGTTGTACATGGTTATTTTTGCCTGCACTTGGAAAGTTTTAGTAGCATAACTGTGTTTTATGTATTTTTTCAACTCAGGTTTATTGGCTATATTAGCATCAAAATGTTTTACACCTGAATAGCTTAGCACTGGATCAGGAAAAAGCTATAGCATGCTTAGGACTTTTATTCCAGTGTAAACGCATCTAAATGAAGGGAGATTTTACCATTTTGTGGTTGTATTTCACAGCAGTGAAACCTTACAAAGGGTGGACACCACCGATTCCAGCCCTTATCAAAAACAGCCCACTAGTGAGAAACAAAAGTGGTGCCTGGTTTTGGTGTCCAAACTTGAAGAATGTGCAGAAAAGGGAAACTGATTATTAATGTGCTTTTGTCTAAACCTTGTGAACACCCTTGACATGAGAAAGGTCATATCCCCTCTGTACAGAAATACATTGAGCCCAGTTGCTGCTGTAGTCCATCGAGAAAGGAAGGATGCTTCTATCCTGCAGCCTCGTCTCCTGTCTGGCAGCAAGAGTATTGCCAGGTCTCACCATTTAATTGCGAGTTTTGAGACAGGCTGGCTCCTTTTCCTTAAAGTCCAGCCTGTTAGTGAGGGGAGTGTGGGGCGCTGGGGCTGAGCTGTACATTGCTGTGCTGGGGGCAGAGCACAAGGATGGGGAGGAACCAGCCAGGCAGGGAAACGGACCTGCCTCAGCCACGGGGACAGCCTGGTCTGAGGACTGGGGCCATGTTACCAGGTGCCCTGTGAGGATGCTGTGGTTTTTGGCACATGCTACATCTGCCCTTTCCCCGGGGCTGCCAGTCCTCGTGCCGAGGCTCCTTCCCATTCACCCGTGTGCTGAGAGTGTGGGATGGGTTCTCCGAATTGTGACCGGGCAGGAAATTCCCTCTCGAGCTGCAGAGGATGTAACGGGAAGAGGAAAAACCTCTTAGTCAGCATCAGCTTCATTTCTGATGGATGCATCAATTTCCTCAGCCATAAGAAAACTCTCCACCCAAAGAAGTCCCCAAGTGTGGAAAGCTGTTGTGTCTCTGGATCCCCCGGGGAATACAGATGCATCCTATCTTTCCTGTCACCTTTGTGAGAATTGGGGCTGGTGGGAAGCGACTTCAGAGCAGAGAGCACTTCCCTACTGTGGAGAAGCCAGGCATGAGCTCTCAGGGAGCTTCTCAACCTTTGCACCAAGGAGAGTGGGTGAGGGTGTGCGGCAAGGTCTGTTTATAGCGCAATTCCCAAGTTAGGCACCTGGAAAGCAAGAGAGATACATTTAGAGGTGACTCCTAAAATTATGCGGGCCATTGTACTGTTCCTCCATGCCCCGGTTACTACTGTGCACTACATGGGTTGAAATAACCCCCAAATCTCCCACAAAAGTGATTGCCAGTGTCCATTGAGATGCTCTGCAGTTGCAAAGGAGTGCCAAATGTGAGCCTTGCTTCAAAAAACTCCCCAAGAGCCAAATTACACAGTAGCAAGACAGCCCTGAGCGTGTGCAGCCCTGCATGGGTGAGCTCTCCTGGCTGGGACAGGTGTTCCTCTGCTGTTTGGCTTTAGGCAAGTCCCCTGTGCAAATAACTTCATCTCCTTCTGCCGCAGCTTGTCTGGCAGAACAGGATTTTTGTAAGTAGTTTCAGGACCCGTCTTCTTTAAGGTGTGCAGCCCCCAAATCACAGGATTTCTCATGCATGTAAAAGGCCCCTCCACCTGGTGTGAAGTATTCGTTGTGACGAAAAACACATTCCAATATCATTGTCACTGTGGTTTTCACACTGAAGCACACAATGAAATAACTGTCAACCTTTCATCATATGTATATATTAGACCTCATTTTCCATCCCATTCCCTGACCTCTTAGTTAAAGGCCGGTTCTGGACAGGTTACTCGACTACCTCCTGGTTTGGTTTGTACACCTGCAGTGTGGCACAAAAGGACCCTGTGCAATGCAGTCACCTCCTCGACTCGAATACGTTTTCTTTCATTCTGGTAGAAGCAAGGTTTTGGGACGTAGCTGGCAGAGGGACACTGGATCCGTGTGACAGCCTGGGAAAAAGGGGGGATATAATGTCGTGCAACAGGGGGGCTCCCCATCAGCAGAGGAAGAACAGGGAGGGGATGGTCTGTGCAGCAGTGGTCAGGGTCAGCTTGGACCTGTCCCTGATGGGTGACTGTAAGGGGTTGCTCTTTGTCTTAGGTTTTAGCTACTTTTGCCCTATCAGCCATGCCAGCAGTTCTGTATTGATCTCATTTAAGCGAGGACTGGCAGCACCTCCTGCATGAGGGTGTGCAGTGTCACCCCGGGGGGTGCCCTGGTGCCACGGGGCTGCTGGCTCGCAGAACCCCATGCCGGGCAGTGAGCCTGCGTGCACAGC